CCTTCCTTCCGAGGAGTGGCTGGTGGGTTTGAACCGCCAGCCTTCTGGTTAGCAGTCAAGTGCCTTAGCCACTATGCTACCAGAGCTCCCTAGTCATCTTAAATTCAATCAGTAACAATAATTATAGTTGAAAGATAAACAAGTTTAACATAAAACATGACAGTACTGGAATTTATAGTTTAGTCTGCAATCAAATCTAATATAAGGAAAGAGGAATAAGATGAATTGAGACTTGTTTCTCTGGAACAAACACTACAGTCCATCATTGACTGAAAAAATTAGTCTATGACCCAGCAGTCCTACCCCTAGATGTTCACCCTAGAGGAAAACTTAAGTTCACAAAATAACCTAATGTTTATAATTTTATTCAGAATCACCAAAACTGGAAACACTCAAACACACCTGTCTTTCAATAAGTGAATAGACGGGTAAATTGCGGTACACCTATACACTACAACACCAAGCAGCAAAAATTAATAAACTACAGACAACCTGGATGAATACCAAAGGCATTAAACTGACTAAGTTTATATTGTGGGAGAATTTAAAATGTATATGTAAATTTTTATTTCATCTTAGACACTGCCAAAAATATTCTAAGGTTTGATTTTAGCAAGTGAGCAGCATATATCTCATAAGTCAGTCATTTCAACTTCAGATATTCAGTAATGATGATCTATTTTGAAAGAACTATTCATAATTTCTGACAGAGGTTATATGTACATATTCTTGAAAAAAAAGACAGCAAGGATTGCTCATATACAAAAAATTAGAAATTCTAAGAGGGAGCAAGATGCAGACTTGCTGATTTTTTTTTAAATCCTCCAGTAATTCTGAAAAAAACCTGTGATTTCTGGGTGTTAAAAGAAAATTCAATATTCAATTCTAAAATCTGAACAGAAACACTGGGTAGCTCTCTGAAACAGAAAGAAAATAAAAATTGCAAAAAACACAGCCAAATAATAGGCCGATAAGGTAAATGATACCCCAGGGAGGTAAAACACTCCTTAGAACAACAAATCAAACTTATCAAAAGGGTACCATCTGCTCAGAAGGCAAGAAGAAATAGAAAGAGGACAAATGGAAACAGTAAACACAGAGAAAATGGAAAGAATGCTGTTATACTGTGGGCATTGCAATCAATGTCACAAATCAAAATGTGTACTAACTGTTGAATGGAAAACCAATTTGCTCTGAAAACTTTCATCCAAATCATAAAAAAAGTTAAAAAATTAATAAAGTTCCATAGAGTTTTCAATGCTTTATAGAAAGAATCACAAAGAGAGAATAATTTTCTTTATTATATCATAAACTACAAATCAAAGGTTACAAAAATTACAAGGGAAAAAACCCTACAAATCAATATGCTTCATTAATACACATGGGGAAATCTTCACAAAAAATAATAGCAAATGGAACTCAGGAATATATAAAATAGATGACACATCACAACCAAGCAGTATGTATTCAGAAACACAAGGTTGATTCAAAAAACAATCAATAAATCTTACAGAAGAATCCAAATAATACATGTAGATAATTCCCTCCTCTCCACTTGAGGGCAGATTAGATTAGTGACTTGCTTCCAAAGACTAGAGGAAAGAAAGGGGAAAAATAGTAACTTTACAGTGAAATAGCCTGGTCAACATTGCCTTATCCAAACGATGAAGTCTAACATTATCAGAGATGTAATATGAATATCACATACCCAGTGGTATAATGTCATAAGAAGGGTACTTCATGTCTGTGATATTCTTTCCAAAAACTCATCATCTCAGTCTAATCATGAGAAAAACAGCAAACCAACCTAGATCAGGATACATTCTAGAGGCTATCTGGCCAGTACACCTGAAGACTGCCAGTGTCATGAAACACAGAGACTGAGAAATTGCCACAGAATGCAAGAGACTGGGGAAATACGACAACTAAATACAATGTGATAGCCTTAATTGGCCACTGGAATAAAAAAAGGCAAGGGAGGAGGGGCAAAACAGAAAAATCCAAATAAAGTTTGTATTATGGTTAACAGTTGTTTTTAAAGTCAATTCAATTTAATTCACATTAATAAAATAAGGGATGAAAATCATACAATTATCTCAACAGATACAGAAAAAGTATTGACAAAATAAATTCAATACCCATTTAAGGTTTTTGTTTGTTTGTTTTTTAATCTCAGCAAATGAGAACGGGAAAAGAACCTCTTCAATTTGATTGAAAAGTCTCCAGCGAAAATACTTAGTTGTGAAATACTAAACATTTCCCTCTGAGTTCAAGCACCAGGCAAGAATGTTTGCCCTCAAAGTTCCTATTCTACATAATACTGGAAGTCCTACATTGTACAATAAGACAAGAAAAAGAAATAAAGGACACAGATTGCAAAGGAAGAATTAAAACAGTGTTTATTAACAGGTAGCATGATTATTAAGATCATTTAAAAAAAAAAAAAAAAACCCATTACCAACACGTCAATTCTAACTCATAGCACGCCTATAGGACACAGTAGAACTGCCCCACAGGGTTTTCAAGGTTGTAAATTTTATAGAAGACTGCCACATTTTTCTCCCAGAGTAGCTACTGGGTTCAAACCACTGACCACCACTGTATCACCAGAGCTCCTATTAAGAT